TTTAGTGCACAGCAACTCACATGCAGATGCTGATGGGGTTGGCTGGGGCATGAGGGTGCTTCAGTGCAGGAACCACTTGCTGGCTAGCCCTGCACTGGAGCTCCCTTGTGCCCCAGCCAGCCCCTCCACAGCACATGGAGCCGGATTGGAGTGGCACTGGCTGGCAGCCCCCTGACAGCCAGGGTTGCTCCAACTTGGCTCAGTGTGCTGCAGTCCAGGGCACACATGTAAATGTGGCACATGGGAGCAATAAACTCAAGCATGAACTGCGCTGGAGTTTATTCAGTCGAATTAATTTCATGTGTAAACATGTGCAGTGATTGCAGATTGTTGACACTGTTTACACTGTTGCATGACCTAGCTAGACAGACGTTGCGCTATCAATCTTTCCTTGTAAATCTGTCTCTTTACCTCGTTTTTGTTCCTCTTCTTTGAATTCTGTCTAGTGAACCAACATCTTTCTAATAACAAGGGTCCCAAAATCAACATAATCAGCTCCAGTAGCATCACAGCTTTCTAAAAAAAACCCTGTCGCCTCCCTGATTTCTGACCTCATGCCTCACATTGGCCTTTTTGCTGCCACTATTAGATTGCCAGTCTTGCTGGCTGTCCATTGTAACTTCTAGGTCTCTTTCAGATATTACTTCTTCCCAAATCTTTCATTCCTACCTGGTTGCCTGTGTTTCAGATTCTTTTCACTTAGGTTTTTTCCCAATCCAGATTTCATTTTATTTCTTCCTTGCGTTTTTAATTTCCTTAGGACCCTTTGCATTGTTACTTTTCCCAGTATAGGGCCATATACAAATGGCATTGTTGTGTAGTTTACCCTCTTTTCTCAGACATTACTGAAGATCTTTAGATCCAGACCAGAGGTGACTGTCAGATATGCAATATCTACTAAACTTCGTCCTGCCATCATTCCTCAGCACCCTTCGCTCGTGGTCCTTCACAAAGTTTTCAGTTCAAGTCAGTGATAATTTCCAGTCCACTTAAGCTTGAACTAGAACATTTTCATGAGAAGTCACCAAATGCGCAGGGATTAGTCTCTTCTTAATATTTGTTTCATTATTTTACTAGAAATATAATTTAAGTTTATAGGAAAGTGATGGTCAGGATCATTCATCTTTTCCTGAAAAGTGGGACCATATTCTATTCCATTTTCCCATTCCTGCCCTCCAAACCCAGTTCTCAATGCATTGTGGAAATAACAGTCAGTGGCAAAATAAATGTATTATATCATTTATTTAATATTAAAAAAGTTATTATCCAGGCTCCTATACATTCCTTAACCTGCCTTTATTCATAATGTATGTTACCAGATCTCTTTACTTGTTAGTTGTTCACAGACCACTTCTCAGGAACAGCAGCTAGGGTCTTATTTTAAGTCCCTCAATGATCAGGTAACAATCATCCCTTCCCTTCCATGCACAGGGGCACACCCCCCTCCACCCCATCCCATTTCCTTTCTCTTCTGCCTGCTGCTGTCCCCAGTATCCCCAGCTGCCCCAGGGCTGAGGGGAGGCTCCAGAGCTCCTCCTGCCCTGCTCCAGCTGGGCTGCATGCAGAGCCAGGTTCAGCCACAGACAGCAGTGGCAGTAGTGACAGGCAGATTCCCTTCCCCTGCACCTGCTCCTAGTCTGGCAAGGAACATCCAGGGGGACCAGGCAGGGAGGAAGAGCTCACCCCCTGCTGTTGCTCTCCTTGGCTGAGTTTGGCTTCCCATAGAGCCCAGCTGGAGTCAGCAAAAGTGACTTGGGAGCATCTCTCTGCCCCTACCCCTTGGGCAGCCAGAGACAGCGGCAGCAGTGGGCTGGGGAGAGGAGGAAGGGAAGGTGAAGAAAGGGGAGGTGCTGTTGTGTATGGAGAAGGAGGGGGGAGGGAAATTCTTTCCTGATTTGGGGACTTCAAAAAGTCACCAGCTGCTGCTCCCATGGCCGAAGCAACAGAGAACAGTGTGTTTGTGTCACTGCACCACCTCTGAATCCACCCCTGAAGAGCCATGAACAATGTCTATGTTAAAATGGATATGCCTTAACGATGCAAGGTAGTGCTAAGGCCGGGGTGGGGAGGGGGAGGAATATATGAATTATTTCTTTTTTCTGCGATGTAGCTCAACTTTTATACACCTAGGGAATGCTGTCCTCAGGGAAGGAATTGAAACCCCACCGATAGTGATATTTTAAGCTAGATTCAACACTAGAAATTATACAGTAGGGAAAAAATCTTGCACTGGCTTTTGAGCTAATTGGGCTCTTCATTCTCTAGAGTTTTTGATTCATGCTTCTTTATTTAAATGTTCTTCTTGAGAGTGGAGTTAAAATCCAGTGATATGGCATGTATCAGACAGAGTGAAATACCACAGCCAGCCATATACCAGATAGATGTGTTTGCCTATAATGTATAATATACTCCAGAGAAAAAAATGTCTGGAATCTCTGAGGAGGAGGAACATTTTGTACTTCAAGACAAAGTAAGGTTGTCCCTTGATTTCTGTTTAGGAGACAGGTGCATGATGATGAACCGTAGTAAAACAGAATACTTGACTGTTAGAAGTAGCTAGGTAAGTGATTTCTTGTCTCCTAGGAAATTCATATATATCAAGATTTGCTTTTATTCCCAGATGAGTTAGGACATTGAAATATCAAACAGTTTCCCAGAATGGAAGATTCCTACATTTTTAAATTCAGAAATATAAAGGGGGGGAAAAAAACCTTATTATCAAACAAACATGTTTCAATATTCTGACATGGGGAAACGAATCATTTTAGATTGACATTTCAGAATTAAGTGTTTCATTTAATTTTGCAATCTCATTTAGATTTTACTGATAGAAGCTCAAAAAAGTTCGGCAAATCAACATTTTCCCCACAAAGCCACATTATCTGAAAGGAACTGATTTTTCACTGTTGTTAAAATTCCCTCAGTGCTTTGCCTCAGTGCTAATTTGCAAACAGAAGTGCTGTCAGGGGCAGATCCAGGGGAGGATTGCACTGATGCCCTTGCACCCCACTTTGATTTCTGCTACACGCAAAGTTTAAAACCAGCTGCCTGGCAATGGCAACAGCATTTCTAGCCAGGCAATGCTGAGAGAGTCAGTTCATTTCATGGCTCATTATGATCAACTTGATCCCTTCTAACCTCTTCATTCCACAGGTGTTAATGACCTTCTTTTCTTTTTAACGTCTTGATGTACCACCAATCAAGCTATTCCTTCTGCAGTTCTGACGTCTGTTAGCTGCTCGTGGTAACACAGCTCTAATTTCACAGCCCTGCAGATTGTTTTTAACTCACTTCAATAAATTCATATTTGTTTTTGCCTCAATCTTAAATGTAATAATACAACCCTAGGCCCCTAGCATTTTAGTAAAGCTTCTAGTTTCTTTTTAACCAAAAAAAAATGTGTGTTATTTTATATGGCATGTTGCACCTCACACTCTCTGCATCTCCATTTTCAAAATTCTGGATCCACCCATGAATGCCATAACCTACACACAGAGCTTGTACTGGACAAAAAATTCCCTTTCAGTGTTAAACTCCCTTATTTTCCTTTGTATAAAAAGTATTGATGGCAAACTCCTAGGCTAAGACCAAGACTGGAATGTTATTTAAAATATCCTCATGAAAGCTTTTCTATCTTTTTGGTCTTCTGTTCTTTCCCTCACTACCCCCCATTCCAGGCATTAAAGAACTCTAGTCATGGCAAAGTAGGGCTAGAAGGGACCTCTAGAGGTCATCTGCTTCAGCCCCTGCACACAGTATTCCAGATGAGGCATGACCAGTGCCAACTAGAAGGCCACTATCACTTCCCGTATCTTTCACCTAATGCTTCTATTGATGCATCCCAAAACCATGTTTGCTTTTTGTGCCACTGCATTATACCTGAAAGTCATATTGAGTGTGAGATCTACCAAGACTTGCAAGTCCTTTTCCATAGCCAGGTGTCACCCATTTTACATTTGTATTTTTGATTATTCCTCCCAAGGTGTAGCACCTTCCATATGTCCACACTGAACTTCATCCTGTTAGCTCTAGCCCAACTTTCCAATTTGTCAAGGTCCTTCTGAATTGCACTCACATCCTCCAACATGTTCACAATCCTTCCCAGTTTCATGCTGTCCACAAACTTGCTCAAGTAGTAAAGTTCCAGTATATGCTGAAGCCATTAGCTCAGTGACACACTGTCCTGACTGGCTCAGGAGTCACATAAGTAGTCAGTGTTAACAGCATATCCAACCCCTACGAGAATTGTGGCAAGCAATCTCCAGTTCAAAAGAAAAAATTACTTGTGCCAAGGTTGGTAGAGGTAGATAGCATGTGCATTTCATTACTCAAGGCTGCAGGAAAAACTCGCCTAACACACACAGTAAAAAAAAGTTAACCTCCCTAAGCACCTTTGATAATATTTTCTGTGCAGAAAAGCAGGTGATACATTGAAGAGATACTTGTGACTTGGGAACCACAGTCTGAGTATTGCTGAATTAGCTAAACCTACAGTGCCTGAAGGGCTGTAATTTATTGCAGCTCCTGCTAGTTCCGGATATCAGGGAGGTTTCCCAATGGATGTTGGCCTCATATCTACTCCAGTGCCATCTGTTATCCTTTGTAGCAACACACATTATGAGCCAGCATAAAGGATGCAATGGGCATTCTTGTCAGACTGTATGTTCCACTTTCCAGATACATTATAGATACAGCAAATCCTCTCATTCCAGCCTGGATCAGATCATCTCATCACAGGGCCACATCCTTCTCTCACTATCAGTTTGTGACAGATGTACAAATCCTCAGTTATTGGAGACAGTGTTCGTGCCCTGAGAAAGGAGTTCTCATCATTGTTATTCTCTGTTGGGCAGCCAGATCCTGTCATTTCCCACTGGACAGCATCCTGCCATAATCTCTGTTGTGACTAGTAAACTTTACCATGAATGGTACAACTGACTCTAATTCTGCTTTGGGCTGATTTCTTGCACTCATTTCTTCTAACTTCTTTTATTCTTCAGGGTCACCCTCCTTTCAGCTCCTTCAAGCAATTTTCAGCAGAATGGAAAGTATGAGTGAGCTTCAAAACCCACTGCTGGCCAACAGCAATGGGCACCTTCATGGCAGCTACTCTTACCACCAGCATCACAACCAGGATTACCCTAGTCACCGCTGCCAGGGAAAACTGTACTCCTACTTCTTTCAAAACACTGGCACTGCCAGGACTCACCAGCTGCTGGATGCCAGTTCTCTGCAGCTGGCTGTAGAAGCATTGTATGGCCCCAACTTCATCCTGGTGAAGGATGAGGCTAACCTCAAAGCCAAGGACAAGGGGGAGAGCTGTGAAACAACCTTTGTGGAAAACAAAGAGGCACCCTCCGAGGCTCCAGACGGGCGAGAAGTACAAGGGCCATGCCTGATGGAGAGTGATATCAGAATCCAAACCGTATCCTATGAGGTAGAGGAAGAGGAATTACAGGAATATGAGGTGAGCTCCTTTGGGGAGGAATATTTGGAGACTTTCCTGCTAGTTGTGTCCATCTGTCCAGCAGGATGGATTCTGCACAAATGACACTGCAAGGGTTAAACAGATAGCATGCACTTCCAGATGTTTACTCTGCATCACTAAAACACATGCAGTTTCTTCCTTCAGTGCCTCTTGATGTGATTTTTGGTGGGAGACCCTTTTGGTGTTGCCATCGTGGTAGTTAAATGTTATCCTTCTGTGAGTGCCTGGCCGGCTGCCAAAGGTTTGTTCCTAGAACGCCAGTCCTTGCCCTGCCCAGCTGGGGTGAATAGCCTTCCAGTTACCCTCAGCTTTGCCACAAAGGTTCAACTTTTTATGGTTGGAAAGTAACTTGGGTTGGCCTTGAACTCATTCAAGACAGTGAGCCTTTGAGGGGTTCTAAAAGTGTCACAGGATACTCCACTTTGTGTGGCAAATTAATACTATACTGTGCATGTTGCTGCATCACAAAACAGCAGATACTAGGGTTAGTTTTTCAGAGGGCCCAGGGAGCTCCCATTCTCTCCATCTCCAATCCCTTCCCTCTACACCCCTCACTGTCTCTCTCTCTCCTTCTAGTCCCACCCTGGCAGTCTCTCTGGTACACCCAGTCTCCAGCCCCATACACTGCCTTGCTCCTCATTTCTCTAGTTTTCTGTATTCAGTAGCTGCTCATATTTCCCTCCCTATCCCCTGAAACGGTTTTACTGCTCAGTTCTCCCAGTCTCCTTCATGTTCTCCCATTCCTCTTCACCTCCCTTTCCATTTCCCTTATTTGCACCCCTCATCCTTCCCCATACCCAGATATTCACCTCAGTTTTCTTCCCTGCTCTCCTATTTCCCATAGTCTCTTCTGTGTCCTTCCCTGAACCCTGCATTTTCCTGTTTCCTCTGTCTCTCTCCATGCTCCCAGTATTTCCGTGTCTCATCACAATTTATACTCTCCTGTTCCTAATCTCAGGATACCTTCCCTGCTGTCAATCTCATTGAGAGCACTAAGAGATGAGAGCCATCTTTATAAGGGGCAGCCTCATTTTCCAGTGCTCGTGTGGTAGCAGTGGCAGCTGTCTTAACTATGGCAGCTGCTTCAGCGCTACCAAACATAATGGGAAACTGAGAGAAGAGCACAGTTTGCAAATTTGTGAGATGCTTAAAATATAAACATGACTCTTGTGATAAAATAATAAGCTCTTAAATCCGAGTTATGGCTGGTTACACACATGTACTCTGGGCCCACTCAGGATTTTCTCTGCAATGGAGAGACTGGGAAGAGCGTACAAGGCTCAGAAAGGTAGCACTATGTAGGGTGGATTCCCCAGGCCCTGCTCTAATTGATAGCTGTAGGCTTTCTCCAAATCCCATTGCTTAGATCCTGGCAAGATGCTCCTTCCAGACTGAAACATGGCTTTCCTCCTTTCCATGTGCTTATGCCATGACAGGTACTCTCTAGGGCAAGATGTGCTCCCAATGGAAAGAAAAGTCCTGGAGACATTTTGCAGAGCACACACCTTGAAAAGATGAGGGAGGGCTCTTGCAACCTTGGGATAGGCTCAAATCCCTTTTCTTTACTTGCTAACCTGACTTGGCAGCCAATTGATTCATCTGGTCCTAGTGGGAATAGGGTATTTTGCTAAACATGACAACAGCCCATTATATCAAAGCCCAAGACATTTAGGTTTAAGAATGATTTCCAGGGAAATCCAAATTCCCCACCATGGACTTACTCTGGCAGGAAAATGAGAATCTACTTCATTCGCTGAATTTTTGTCACAACCTTTTTCTCATCAAACCAACCTCTGGAGGTATAATATTTTAGAAACTCATTCCCTGAATTTGATGGTAAGAAGAGTATAAGAATATATAAAAGGGAAGGAGAGGAAAGGGAAGACCCTGTGAAATGCTTAGAGTGCAGGGCATGGGGGAGATCACTGCACAGATACAGGATGAGAGGAACCTTGGAAAACCCATAGATAGGATGACATAATGGGGCAGCTCAGACTCAGGAAGGGCCTTCAGTAGTTAAGTGACCAAAGGTAGTTTCCATTGGTGGCTTTGTGGTGGTCTGTATTACAGTTATGCCCAAGCCCAAGCAGAGGCTGAAGCCTTGAATGGCCCATAGAGGTATAACTTGTTTTTTATCCCTATGGCAAGTCCCTCTAGGGGAAGCTTGAGTCACCTGAGGTTGGGGAAGAGCACTACATGTCTCCAGATCTTGATTTCTACAGGGTCTTTCCAATTTTTACAGGATGTCTTCATGCCGTATAGCAGGGGCAGACTCACTTTTTGGCAATCAGCCTGTCCCTCTGGACCATGAATGGGGAAAGCTTGCAATGCTTGGGCCCTCTCTGTGGCTGACAGTCCAGCACATTCAACAACACTAAATCCATTTGTTTTCCAGAGTGACTCCTCCAGTGACAGTGAGAGTGAGGACCATTTCCTGATGCTTCCCCCACAAGACCACCTTGGTTTGGCCATTTTTTCAATGCTCTGCTGCTTCTGGCCTCTGGGGATTGCCGCCTTCTACTTCTCCCAAGGGGTGAGGAATCCCATCTCCTGATGTCTGCTTTCCAGTGCTACAAAAACTGGGCTATGCAATGGCTCTAAAACAGAGACCCTGTAAGCTAAATGAACCCACTAGGCAGGAACCAGACAGTATTTTGATATACAGGTACTCCTCACTTAACATCATCCCAGTTAACCTTGTTTTGTTATCACGTCACTGATCTATTAGAGAACATACTCATTTAAAGTTGCATAATGTTTAGTTATAATGTTGTTTGGCCGCCTCCTGCTAGTAGGTAACTACTGTGATGTAATTGGATTCACTTAACATTGTTTTGTCGCATTTTTCAAGAATGTAACTATGAGGTTAAGGGAGGAGCAGCTGTAGTTATGCCATGCCCACTGGTTTTGTTTCCAACCCTCCACCCATGAAAAGAGCCAGTATGCTGGGGCACAGCATGCTACCATCCGTATCATGCAAGTGAACCGGACACTTCATGCTCACCTTACAGTAGAATTTCATTCTTCCACTGCAGCCAATGCTGGACAATTGCCCTGGGGAAACTAGAGGTTTTGCCCTTGGATGCAAAGAGGTAATCCTTACAGTGCCATCCTTATAATACTGAGGGACCTGACTCTGTCCACATGTCAATAAAAGAGTCCTCCTGTGTGGTAGAATCTGTAGTCACTACACTGTGACTTGATAAAATCCTACACTATATCACCCCCAGCTACAATTTGTATGCTTCTAGGAGTCACTAGATTATACCTTATCTCCTGGCAGATATTAACAGCTGACACCGTTCCCAACAAATATTGCTGACCAGATCCAGCGCTGTAACTCCCTCAGAATCACAAAGCTTTGGAGACTGGGCACAGCAAAGAATCTGTTCTCTTGTTACTTATTATAAGGGTCCCTGTATTCACTATGTTTGTGGTAATGACCTCTGATGTTAACTTTAAAAAAATCCAGGCAATACTTTTAGTTCCTTATCTATAAGATGGGGATAATAATACTTCTGAACTTCAACTCTACTGAAGTCAGTGGAGTTACACCAACAAAATGTGGCATACTTAAAAGTGTAAGTATTTGGCACAGTCCTAATTGTCCCAGGAGTGGCACAGTCATTTCACACATCACGCTTCCAAGCTGCACCCACCAGTAGGGCATCAGTGAGAACATGCATCCTGACCAGCTTTAGGGAATGATACACAATAGCCTTACAGGCACACAGTACTATGTCCTGGAAAAGAGGATAGCATGTTTTATCCCAGGTACTTTGGTAGGGTCACAGGAGAAAGCTTTCTCCTGGGACAAATGCAGCATCTATTTAAAAACTATGAGGAGAATCTGGCCCTGGATTTGTCTTAGCTCAGACTGGCTAAGCTCTCACAGGCACAGCTAACATTTTGTTACTTCAGTGTCAGTCCAAAGTACTGTTAATTCACACAGGTCACTGGAGTTGCTCTGGATTTACATCCTGCTCGGACAGAATGTGTCCCAGTCTTTTGACAAAGTTACATGGAGATGGTAGAAAGATGAATAAAAGATCAATGATGTTACAGTTAGCTGAGTTTAGGATGCTGTGTCTGTGAGGGAAGGACAGTTGCCAGCCAATTAAAATTCTTCAAAGCAGCACCTCTGATTTGTATTTGTTTTTCTAATATCATTGCTGCAGCTGGTGCAGGATTATTGTCATTCAGCACTATTTATTGTTATTGCTGGCTCTTTGGACCAACTGTCTCTTAGTCCCATGTTTTCACACAGTGCAATGGGCCAGCATCCCCTTGGTGCTACTATAATACCAATAATAGAGAGTAATAATAACTTGGATTGTGCCTAGTGCTTCAGAGTGGAAGTAAAAATCCCCAGCAGGAAGAGCTGGCAAACTAATGGCTCCTCCCTCCCCACTGTATTACTCCCTTCCTTTACCCAGTGTCTCTCCAGAGAAATCAAGGAACATAGGAAATCAAATTTAGATACTGCCTTACCAATGGTCCCTGGTGCCTTGTCCATGAGCCAGTACTAGTTGCTTCAGCAGCAAGTGTAAATTTTTCTAATAGCCAATTATGAATAGGCTAATCCCTGCCAGTCAGTCAGTGACTTATCCTATTTAATGTATCTTCAGCTATTCTTGTTATTCATATAATGTTGAATCCCCTGTATCCCAAGAGCATATGAAAGCGAGTTCCAGGGGTTATTTTTGCATTGTGTAAAAAATATCCTTTTATCACTTTTAAATGTATTCCATTTAAATTTCATTCAATGCCATTGTGCTCTTGTATCACAAGAAAGAGCAGTGATTGATTTACCTGCTGTAGAGCGTTCATTATTTTGTGTATACCTGCAGTGCTCTCTCTCATTTAATTCCTCTTTAAACTACAGAAAATGTCCTTTCTTAACCTCCCCGCACAAGAAAGTCTTTACAGCACTCTAACTGTTTTCACTGCCCATCTCCTAAGTTTTTTATACATCTTTCATATCCTTTCTGAGCAGAGGTGACCAGAACTGAACACCAGATAAGGGTGAGCAGTCGCAATATGCAATGTCATTTTCTATTTTTGGTATTCGTCCTTATCTCTTTCAATGCAGTGTAGCCAGAAAAGAATACTTAAATTTACATATTCCTGATTAGTGGGCTCAAGATACTGCACTCTATTATCAATACATTATAACAACATAGTTAGTGTCTCTGGATATATGTGCCTCCAAGCATGCCATTATGAAATCATATCACCATCAGAGTAAAGTTCAAAAGTTAATAGAGTGACAAATGATGCACATTTTCAAAACCTGCCCAAGAGATGAACAAAGACAGTTCAGTCTACAAATATACAATATTCAAATGTTACATAGCAAGAAAAATTATGATGGGACTGTGGTGCCACCATCACTGTACCATGAAAGTGCAGTTTAAAAACACAACGTGTCTGAATATGTTTGCCTGCATTGAAATGTGCTCACTCACACTGAAAACAGTTGTCTACACATACCAAATCTTACCTCTAGAAAACAGGCATCAAAGTAAAGGAGTATAGAAGGGAATACATTTTGGGAGTCAATGCTGTTCCCCTATTTTAAACTAGATAATCAGTCTCCAGAGGGTTTGTGTGACCTTGTCTCGCTAACATTTCAGATTATGTCAATAAACATTTACATATTGTCTTCTCTTTCCAGACCAGTAAAGCTGTCTCCAAAGGGGATTTCCACATGGCAAGTTCAGCTTCCCGGAGGGCTCTCTTCCTTGCTGCACTCTCTATAACCATTGGCACGGGGGTATATATTGGTGTGATTGTAGCACTGGTTGCTTACCTATCCAAAAGTGGCCATGTATAGCACAGACCTTCTTGCCAAAGCTCTTGCACTCTGTGCCCAATGGCCAACCATACTGGGACTCAGACTTTCATATGGGGCAATGGACATGATGCTTGCAAGGGCTGTTGAATAGCTTCATCAGTGGTGGGACCTCACCTGAAAGTAGACTACAGACCGTTTCCCATTCAGATGACCAACACTCTACTCTCCTTTAAACCTGGTGAACGACAGCCCCCTAGCAAAGAATTTGGTGTGGGCAGAAAGTCCTGGATTCTGAGACTGAGAAGATCATATTTCACTCTTGGAAGAAGGTGAAAGAGATATTACTACTTCAGCTGCAGAGCCTGGTGCAGCCACTCCCAGTTTCCAAGACAATCTGCCCATGCTCTAGTCCTGCCGTGTAGAATTCTTCCACCTATGGTATCACAACCCTTATCTATCTTTGGGGCACATGGGAAAGAGCAGGAATAAGCCTGTAGGGATTTTATTTGTTGCTCATGCTTTTGGGAGATAAGAGTCACAGTCTCTTTGGAGAAAATGTTTGTCAGGAGCTTGCTCTTGTGCTAGGGAAATCATTCACTATCTAGTGCCAAAGGTCAGCCACTGCCCCTTGAGCTGCAACAAAGCAGAGCCTTCACTACAGAGCAAGCTCTGGGCTTCCCCCTGTGTAGCCTCAGCAGAAAGTTCTGGACTCAGGCTTTATCCTTGTCACATTCTGCTGATCCATGGCTCAGCCCAGACTTTGAACGTCACAGTGTTAAACAAGATGATGAATATTTGTTTGATTGGTAATTACGCACACCGTTTTACATGCTGACCCTGGTTGAGTAGGCTCTTGAGATTCTTCTATATTGTTGTTCTACAGCAACGAAGAGGGGCACACCAGTGCCCTGCCCTGTTAGATTATGTGAAGAGAGAAAGTTAGAGCCCCTGCTCCAAAAGCTTTTCATCTAAACAGACAAGGGAGGGAAGGGAAGCAGGAGCAGAGAGAGCTGAGTGATGGGCCCACAGCCACATGGCATGTCAGTGGCTGAGCTGGGAACAGGGCCCCAGTGCAGAAGGCTGTCCCCTAGATCAGGCTGCTTCATCTGCAACTTTGTTCCTGAGGGGGTAAAAAAACCCCAACAAAACAAAACACCAAGCATTGCCATTCTGGGGAAGCCACAGGGGAAAATGGTTCCCTCTGTCCCAGTGCTTCTGCTTCACAGGAAGCTAGCAACCCATCCCTCAGAACTAAGAGTACTAATTAGGGTGTGAACAAAAAGCCAGTGTTACATCTGTGTTGAGCAGAGCCTATGAACAAGGACAAAGTCCAGAGCAAGGAAAAAAAAATATTTTGAATATGGAAAGGGAACAACCAGTAATGAAGGCTATCCCTCCCCCAACACTGAGGAACTGGGCACTTCTAACACAAGACCCTATGTCACCATAGCAACGAGCTACGGTGATGTAGCTTGTCGCTACAGCAATGTAGCTTGTCGCTACAGCAACACAGCACAAACCACGCCACCAAGGCTAACTGCGCAGCAGCAGGGCTGGACACAGACATGGGTGAACCGGGCAGCTGCCCAGGCCCAAACAGAAAGGGAGCCCAAAAATGGTAATTTAAAAACTATTATTATCAAAATCTCTGGTGAAGGGGGCCTAATACTAAAAGTTCACCCAGGGCCACCAGGAGTCTAGGTACGGTGCTGTGCAGCAGCAAGTAGCTCGTTGATACTGCACAATAGGGTTGGAACAACACAGGCGCAGTCAGGTGCATGTGTAGACACATCCACTGAGTGTTAAACAGACCCTCCATTGAAGTGCCAGTGCCACTCATCCCAGCTTACATCCTATCATTGCTCATTTGTATAGTCAGTGGTGTGCCAGGTGCTTCAAAGACACATGTGAAGGCCAGGTCCCTGCCCCAAAGAGTTCAAAATAAAGGACTCTACCTCACCTTTCACCTTCAGCCCCACTCTCCACCTCAGACCACACACCTTCTGACCCCATCACTTCCATTCCTCTCCTTGACTCTTTTCTCCTTCACTCCCTCACTCTTGTTGTGCAGTGTGCTGTAGCCAGGCTCCCAACTCTCCCCTGGGGTTTCTGGGCACCTTGTAGCATATACTGTAAGAGCGGCGGCATGTTCCTTGATATGTGTATAGTTCAAATGTACATTTCATACTGAAGAAGCATGTCAGTATCTGAGATTTCTATTGTACTTGAGCCATAAAAGAAAGAAGCACATACCAGACCTGTTCAGAAGCTTTCAGAAAGTTCCCATTATGTTTTATAACATGAAAGAGTGAATAAAAGAATGGGAAACAGGAGACCATGTACTAATGATCTGGGCACCAAGGGGGTGAACTTTACAGATGGCACAAAACTACTTAGATCAGTAAAACCTGCTGATGCATGTGGGAAATTTTATGGAGGATGTAATGCAACTGGCAGCAGGGCAACACAGTAGGAGACTAAATTTAACTTAGATTACTGAAAGGAAACACACCTTTGGAATGATAAGCTACACTCCTTTGCATATGTGGACAAACTCTGAACTTATAGTAACTTCTTAGAGGAGAGACTCCAGACTTGTCATGTTCAGTTTCTTCAGCATACCTGCTGAAATATTAACAATGAGTAAAAGTGAACCTTTCTGTGGAGTGAGTAAGGGAAGTCAGGCAAGTGGCTTGGGAGAGACTGGGGACTGCAAATCCCAGGGATGTACATCAGAAATAATTTGAATCAAGTCCTAGGTTGACTTGCATGAAAGACATGGAACTTGGAGCTGTTAAAAAATTCTCATTTACCATTTCCCCATTTGGTAAGACCTCGCCGTTTTCTTTAGTCCCGATTCATAACAAGAGGAGTGGGGTCTGAAAGGAACTAAATAGAAAAAAAAAAAAGATAAAGTAGGCATCTACTTAGTCTGGGTAGTCAGTGCCCCAAAAGACCATGGTGCCATAATCCTGCTTTGGTTTAAAAAGAGAATGGACAATCTCATGACCATCAATAACATTTGAAGCCCAAACTAGAAGATGTGATGAAAATTACTGACAAACCCTAAGCCAGGGGAAAGCAATTATTTCAGGCGGAGGGCCAGGCAAGCCATCGAGGGCCACATGACAGGCAGCCAGGGGTAGATTAATATTAATTTTCTAAATTTTTAAGGGGCCCTGTGGGATGGATAGAATGGCCTGGCAGGCCACATCTGGCCCGCAGACCACATTTTGCCCACCCCTGCCCTAAGCTAATGCCCAGGGAAGTCATGAAGGATCTCTGTCCCACATACAATAAAGCACAAGTGACCAGCAACAGTGTGGGTAGGAGTGCATAATCAGTTCTTGGCCAACCACAGTAGAAAGGCAATGCTCTATAGAAGCAACAGTCTTTCCTGATACATTAAAAACTAAGACACTGCAGACTGAATGGACTAGTGAGCTGATCTGTTATAGCATCTATATGATAGTAGTGCCTAGAGACTTTACCAAAAACTGGAGCCTCGTTTTTATGTAGTATGAATGTACCACTACATCACAAGGGACCATCCCTGCCTCAAGGAGCTTATCATCATAGACATCAGACAAAGGAGACCACATTGCATCCTATCCATTACAGCAGGACTTGGGATCCTGGGGACTGGGTGAATAAATTGTTTGAGGAGTCAAGGTACAAAGTGCTGTATGGTACTGCAAAGCTGACGTGTGAATGGAGTACATATCCAAGTGAAAATCTGGGGAAGTGTCTGCTGTGAAGACAGTAAAGGCAGGAAGACTGAATCTGATGCAGTAAAGACATGGGGAGCCAGAGGAAGTATAAGACACTCATGTGTGTAAGCAATGAGAAACTGGATGCTCACATATGCACTCACAGAACAGGGAGGGAGGGTACCAAGTGGTGGAAAGAGGGGGCATGGAGTGAGGATGCCTGGCTCTGCTGCTGACTTACTGTGTAGTCTTGATTATCTCACTGTACTTCTTCAAGTCTTGGTTTCCTCTCCTGTTAAACTGACATATCTACATTTACCTCCCTCAGAGAGGCATGATGGGGCTTAATGAAGGCAAGATTATGCCATGCTGTTGAAATCCTTGATGGAAAGGGCTTGGTTATGTACATTGTTACTCTGCCTGCTTTGCCTGGGTCTAATCACAAGAGAATGACAGGAAAGATCAGGACATTGAAAGCCTCTCCAGCCCTCTGTATGAGTCTTGCTCAAGGCAGCATCTCCCATAAGGTTCTTTCCTCACAGCAGGTAAGGAGTGAGAAGGTCTTGCTGTGACTCCAAACTCTTGCAGAAAGCAATGTCTGGAGGACAGGAGGGGAAAATATGGCCCGTAGACCAGATTCAGCCCACCAAGGGATTCTATTTGACCTGGTGGGCCTGTGGCCCACCAGGTCCCTTGGCCCCACCTGGCCAGGTGCAGGGGGGCTGCCCAGGCCATGGCACATGCTGCAGGACTGAGGCAGAACTGCGGCTGGACTCAGCTTCCTGGCATCCCCTGCAGCAGTGGCTCCTTCCAGCTGCCATTGCCAGGGTCACCACCACCACCAGCCCCATTGCCCAGACACCCCAGCTCATCTGGCCCATAACCACCACTGGGGGTTCTGGATGAAGTGGGTAGGTGGGATGTCCATGGAGACTAGCCTGGGACCTAGAGGCAGCGCATGCTCAGCTAGGCAGATGGGATGGGGCAGCAGGCGGGTAGGGAACAACATCTGGGAGTGGGGCAAGCAGGCAGGGCCAGGATCACAGGGCGGTGATAGCATGGGACCCAGGGTAGAGCCGCGATCCGCTTCCCACATGTCCCTGCCTGCAGAACTGGCACCTGTCACAGGGGCGCATGGGAAACGGATTGTGGCTCTGCTGTGGGCCCCAAGCCCTACACTGTCACTACCCCATGCTCCTGGCCCCAGCCCTAGCCCCATCGTACTCCTGGATGCTGCTCCCTGCCCACCTGCAGCTTCATCCCATCTGCCCAACTGATCACACTCTGCCCACAGAGGTCCACAGAGACCCTGCCTACCTGCTTCATCCAGCACTCCTAGCAGTGGGTGCAGGGTAGACAAGCTTGGGACAGATAGGATCAACTGCCACCTCCCCCCCACAAGCATGTAATAGCTCACCAAAAATCCCTAAGTGACCCTTCAGCCCAAATAATTGCCCATCCCTGGTCTGGAGCCTCTCACAGCTTAGCCCAATGTTGCTCAGTGGTATCCAAGTTTAAATTAACCAATGTCCTCACCTACAGACTCTCCTGAACAAAGGTTTTCTTGCTGAGCTCTGGGAGGGGAGGGTCTCCAAAATGGCTGTTCTTGGTTAAATTTATTTTGGAACCAGGTGCGGAGTCTGCATATTGTCCCCCAAACTCACATATTCAACCAATAACTGCTCAAACAGCCACCACATCTGCATTTGTTAAGAAAAAAATGGGGCTAGTCACATACAAGATGCAACTGCTTTCTGCTCAGTCTGTTCTCAGGCTGCACATCTAACACAGATCCCTTCCCACGCTCCGCTTCCATGTAACAGCCTATACATGTAGGCCCGGATGCGTGGTTAGGGCTGACAAAATACAAGCATATACCCTGCTCTCAGAGATGTATAGCTCCACTATCTGGCCAACTCATAGGATGTGTGTGTCTGTGTATCTATGACTATGCTGCAACACAAAGAAAGGCTGGAGTCTTTGGCCTGAGGAAGGACACTGATCGACTGCTGTTATCTTTGATAAGTAATAGGTATTAGATTCCAGGTGCTTCTGGCTCTCTATGGACAGGAAAATAAATAAGACCTTCACTCTGAGGCACTGACATTGCTCCCACCAGGAAGCCCCAAGCTACAGGTAAGCTATACTCTTGTATATGCAAATACGTGCTTTCTCTACCATCAACTTTTGAAGTCCCCATGAGCCTCTGTCCTTTGTCAGGCTTAAAAAAACCAGATAAATTACAAATAGATAACAGGTGGGACTGGCTAATTTCCAGGCTTTTAGGGAAGATTATATGGGGGAAGGCATGATAGCATAGTGTGTGGGTATTAGAAGGAGAGGCTGGGCCAGGGTCCTACTGCCCTTCGACATGAGTTTTTCTCCCCACCCCACCTCCCATAGTGCTGTGCCTCTTCTCTCCTTACTGCTGCCTCCCACTCACACCTCATTCTACGACAAAGCCTGGAGCTGGCAGCCCATGCTTGCACCGGCACAGCCCAGCGCAAGGAGCAGCTATCTGGATCCTCCAATGTTTCCCCTCAGGCAAGTGAGGTTCTTTCCCACTCTATTACATAATAGGGAGGGGGTTAGAAGTGGACTTCCTTTTCAGGAGGTATGGGAGGGAGCAGCTCAAGACATGTGGATCTGTCCTCATCTCACAATACCAAGAACAAGGAATAATATTTTCAAAACTGTCTTCATCCCAACGAAAATCAACTTTTACTTGGGGGGGTGGGGAAACCAATGGTTCTGAAGCTCCTAAGTCCCTCATCTCTCCTCTGGCACTGAAAGCTTGCAGAGGAGGCCAGACTAAGTTCTCTGCGTACAGCACTTTCCTAACTCAGCGTGAGCTATCTGACA